TGCTGATCTTTGTGTCCTTCGGTTGAACATCATTAGCAAGTACCTGCCCGCCTATATCGTTACAGCTATATTGAAAAGTATCTTCAACGGGTGGAACACCACGAGACGGTACAGATGCGGGGCAGAGACGTGCAAAATGGGGTGCCCTGCTGTGGGAGGCGACGATATCCTTCATTATCTCTGTTGCCCCGTCGCCACTGCCTTCCTCACCAAGCACATCCGATTGCTTCCTGAAGAGTACGGTTCTGAGCCTCTTCCCTCCTTCCTTCCCCACCTGTTCCCTGCAGACAAAGAATGCATGTTGTGTATAGCGCTTGCTCTCGATGCCCTTCATTGTGCCTTTCAGTCCCTTCGTGCCTCCCCCCTCCCCCCCTCCCCCGCCCGTACCCGTGGATTGCTTGCTGCCCGCCTTCGCACGACGGCTCGGCGGTCCAAGCGCGCCACGGCCCTCCTGCGAGGCGCGCCCACCCCGCCCGCTGTGCCGCCGTCGCCGCCGCCGCCTTAAGACAGTCAGACTGGTTTCCGAGGCAGTGCATTGGGTCGGGTCGGCCAATGCACTACCTTCCCCTCTGGCCGGTGCTACTCCTCTCTCCTCCTCCTCCCCTCCTCCTCCTCCCCCTCCTCTTCCTCCCCTCCTCCTCCTCCTCCTCCTCCTCCTCCTCCTCCTCCTCCTCCTCCTCCTCCTCCTCCTCCTCCTCCTCCTCCTCTCCGCCGCCGAGCCTGGCGGCGCTCCCCGCCATGCGGCGCCCCGGCCCGGACGTCGGGGGTCTCGGGGTCTTCGGCCTCAGGGGGGCCCTCGCCGGGCCTCGGGGCCGTCCACAGAATGTGACTCGGGATGCACAACCAGTCCCAGGGAAGTGGTCGAGAGGTCGGGGGCCCGCGTCTCGAAAAAGAGCGGGACGCTAGATGTCTGGGGACTTTTTCGGTGCGGGCGTCCCAGAAGTCCTGACGCCTTCCCCCGGGCCGTTCTTCCGTCGCGAGCCTTTCTCTGACGGTCCCGGGGCCCAGCGAGGGCCCCCAGAGGTTGAGGGCGGTGCGAGCCTCCAGTCGTGATGCTCTCCACGGCGCGAGCGCGTCTGGGCCGGCCTCCCGCCTCGGGGGGGCACGCTCCCCGGCCCGCTCGCCCGGCGCCCCCGCATTAAGCCGCGGAGCTGTCCTCCGCATCTTGGCGTGTGCCCAAGCCCTGCGCCGCCGCGAGCCCTGGCGATACCTCGCGCTCTGCCCCGTCCGCTCGGAGGCGACGGTCGGGGCGAATGGCCCGTGGCCCAGGCACCGTCAGATCATGGCACAGGCACAGGCGAGCCGTTGTTTGCGATTGTCTGGGCCTCGGGGGACCTTGGACGGACGCGACTCGGGGTGATAAGAGCCGGCCTCCGAGGAGGTGCCCAGACCTCTGGGGATCCACGTCGTGAACATATCTCATGGCGTCGAGGGTCCGGGGGGGGGGGGAGCCGTCTGCGCATCAAGAGGCGCCGATTGTCCCTGGCTCTGGCGCGGCTCCTCGGCGAGTTCGTGCCGTGCGTGCCACCCTCCCCGTGAGTGAGCCTCGAGCCTCGATCTTCGAGCCTCCCCGCAGGCCGCGTGCGGGCCCTCCGATGCGGCGCCCTGGGGTCGATGCGGCCGAGCTTAGGTCGGGCATGTCCCCCTACGGGGGGATGTGGGGCGAGAAAGTAAAAATATGCAAAACATGCACCAACATAGCCAAACAAAATATTGCACACATCGTTCCCAGACTATGTTTGGACTATTGCGAAGGCCTTGCGGCCGATGCCGCCGACCCTGGAGACAGCGTTCTGTCATTGGGGAGAAATAACAACGCAACAGGAAGAGTGGTCGTCTGGGCGCGCCAGCCCTCGCGGATCGGACGGTGGCTGCGAGGCGCTGTCGGACGTCGGAGGCGTTGAAAGCGCGCTTGCCGCGCTCGGGAAAGTGCCCCTCCTCCGTTCTGTGATGGGGGGGAGGAGGAACAGGCGGAGGAGGAGGACAAGGTCGAAGAGGAGGGAATACCCGGCTGTTTTTTTTTTTAATTTCCTAGTTTGTTTTGTAGCTTCCTAGGAGAGTTTTTGGGGCCTCTCGGGAGCCTCTTGAGGCCTCTGTGGGCTTCCTGGAGGGCCTCTTGGGAGCTTCTCGGGGCTGAGGGCTCGAAGTGTCCGTTCGGGTCTCCCGTCCGGGCGCTCTCTTGGAACCGTTTTGGGGGCCTTTTGTGAATCTGGGAGGCGTCTTGGGCCGTCTTGGGGCACTTTTGGGCCGTTTGGGGACCCTCTTGGGGGCCTCTGGGGCCGTGTCGGAGCGATCTTGGGAGCCTCTTGGGCTTGGCGCGTGGGGGAGCGGAAGAGGCGAGAACGCCCAAATCCTTGAAAAACGCATGGGGAATCCATGATTTGTGCCTCTTGGAGCTCTCGTGGGAAGGGTCCTAGAGGCTGGGGCGTCTCGCAGGCCTTTTGGGCCGACTGGAAGCCGTCGAGGCGTCTTGGACAGATCATTCGGCGATTCGGCGCCCTCTTGGATCATCTTGGGGGCCTCTTGGAGCACTCTTGGCCGGTCTTGGGGTCTTCTTGGGCTTGGGGATTCCCCGGGAGGGCGGCGTATAAATAACCCGGGACCCCCCCTGGGAACTACCCCGGACCCCCCCCCTTCCCCGGGAAGGGATCAAAGGGAAGGGGCTTCCGTTCGACTCCAGTACGACGCTCTTCAAACTCGCCTTGGACTGGAGCGCCTCAGAACGAGGCCTTGGGAGAGGGATAGAAGCAACGACGCTGTGGGGAAAGAAGAAGGAACATCGGCGACGACGAAGAGGGAGCAGACAGAGAAGCCTCTTCCACACGCCGACAGGGTCGGCGGATTTTTGAATATTCCTCCTGTAGAGGGACACGCCCGACGTAAGCCGAGGCCAAGATCGCCCCAGGGAAGTGAGGATGGGCGCCCCCTGCGCCGCCAAGGCCTGCTGGGACCACAACTGGCCCCCGCCATCTGGACGTCATCGCCTTCGACGGGGACGCCGGGATGGGGGCCTTTCGAGAAGAGCAACTGTCGCAGGCCCAGAGATTGACACCCACACCAATATCGGCGGTGTGCGTCTACCGAGGGAAAATGATCCCGATCTCAGTGATGGTGGTCATATTCTAGCTTCCAAGGTGACCGACTTATTTTTACCACCAGCGCCGAAGTCCAGGATCATCTTCCCCATGTGGAGGCAAACCCCTGTGTTGTTGGTGCCCATTTCCAGGCCTCCCAAACTGGCACGACTACCAACTTTCGGCGCTGGACGCCCCCCTCCTCCCTGGCGCGCGTGCGCCGCCACGCCTGTTCGAGTAGAGGATCAACTGCAGAGTTGGCTCGCCCCCCCTTCAATTCTGTCGTCTACGGGATTGTGTAGGAGGCTCGTGGATAAACATTGTTCCAGTGCGACCCTACCTAGGAGTTGGAGCCTTTAGGAAAGCAGCATTAGTAGTAGCAGTTGCTGTGATGCGCTATGCTCTGCTCTGCTATGCTATGCTATGCTATGCGGCGCAATGCTATATGCTGGGCTAAGCTAGGCTAGGCTAGGGTATGTTATGCTATGCTATGTTATGCTATATTGCGCTGTGCTATGCTAATCAATGCTATACTTTGCTATGATATGCTATGATATGTTGCGCGATGATATGATCTGCCATGCTATGATGAGCTATGCTATGCTATGCTATGCTATGTTATGCTATGCAGTGCTAGTGCTGCGCTGCGCTATGCTGCGCTGCGCTAAGCTAAGCTACGGTAAGCTAAGCTCTGCGAAGCTAAACTAAGCTAAACTAAGCTAAGCTAGAGTAGACTAAACTAAGCTAAGCCAAGCTAAGCCAAGCTAAGCTAAGTTAAGCTAAGCTGATATAAGCTAAGCTAAGCTAAGCTAAGCTAAGCTAAGCTACGCCAAGCTAGGCTAGGCAAAGCGAAGCTAAGCTAGGCGAAGCTAAATTCAGCTAATATGAGATAAGCTAAGCTAAGCTACGCTAAGCTAAGCTAAGCTAAGCTAAGCTAAGCTAAGCTAAGCTTAGCCAAACTAAGCTGGGTGAACCCAAAGGGCGCAACTGGGGGAACCGCGGGGCGGATGCTGGGGGAACCGCCCGGGGCGGGCCCCACTGCCCGGCCCTTTTAAGCATACCGAGCAAGAACCCTTCTAGGCAGAGCCTAGGTAGGGAATTATATGCTTTTGGTCGATCAAAAATCGATCGGACGAACCCAAGAAACAATCCACGTTTAGGCAACTCACTCATGTAGTCGATCTCTATTCGAGCGGTGCACAGTGCGCTCGCAGGCAAAGTCGCGAGCCCTCTGGCCGGCCCGGCTCCTAGGCGCAGCATGGTGGAGCCGAAGGGCGCGCCGACCCGGCCGCGCGCCCGCCGCGCGGGCCGAAGGTGCACAACGCGCCCGAGCCGTCCGGGTGCTGAAGTAAAAGGCCCAACGCGCGGACCATGCATGAGGTCGTCATCGCCGACGCTGGGGATAAGGACGTCGACGACTTGAACTCCCTTTGGTTGCACGTCTACGTCATGCTCTCCAGAGCGTCGGCTTGGGCGAACCTTGCCCTTCAACCGTCTGCGCATGGGCCAGAAGGGCGACGGAGGGGCGACGATGACGATAGTGACGAGGACCATAGTATTGCCATGGTGACGTCCACCGTGACAATGATGACTCTGACGACGACGATCATGATGAGGGATGGTGTTGATGATGACGGTAATGGCGGCGATTGTGATGATGGTGGAAGTAGATGGTGAGGATGATGTTGGTGATGACGATGGGTACGCGGATGAGGATGATAATGAGGATGGTGATGGCCATCGTGGTTGGGATGATGTTGTTGTTGGTGATGATGACGGTGATGATGAGGAGTAGGAGGATGGTCATGAGGATGAGGATGCTGAGGATGAATGAAGCGGCGGCGGCGGCGATGTTGGTGGTGAGGATCGCGAAGCCGATCGCGACGACGATGATGAGGGAGAGTGGTCGGAAGCTCGGGGGCGCAGTCCCTCCCGATGGCGCTGCGCAACAGCCGGAGCAAGCGCATCGACAAGATCTACACGGCTCCCCTTTCGATCGGGGAGGGCTGGGAAGGCGAGAGCAAAACAAGCATAACGCAGGCCCAGAGGTTGACACCAACACCAAGATCGGCGGTGTGCCTCCACCGAGGGAAGACGGTCCCGATCTCGGTGATGGTGGTAATATTTTGGCCTCCAAGTTGGCCGACATATTACCACCAACACCAAAATCTAGGATCACCCTCCCCTGGTAGAGGCAACCCTCGGCATTGGTGTTGGTGATCATTTCTAAGCCTCCAACAACATACATATGAACTGTGGGCGACAAAGCTGCTTAAGAGGCGTGTGCCAAGTAAAGACAGAGCCCCCGGCTGTTGTCCCAAGAGGGTGCCGTGCCGAGCGAGCGGGTGCTGGGGGTTACCCGAACGGTTTGGTGACCACCGCGTCCGAGGTTTTGAGCCGATGTGTATATAACACGAAAGATCAACAATATACGTGAACCAAAAAAGGTCCCGACCCCCTCCCCTGAGGTAGTTTTCGCCCCAGATCCTTTTTTTGATGGCCCTGGGGCGGGGCCCGATAACGGGCCCCAGAGGCCAGACCGCCAGGATCAAAAGAAACATGCCGGAGGTCTGGGACTGTGATTGCGGCCAGGAGCTCTGGCTCGGCGCGTCGCTCGGGCCGAACGAAAGCGGGGGGGGGGGGACAGGGAAAGGGGGGTTACGAAATCTGCTGCATGCAGCTGGTTTCGGCCCCGCCGCCGGGCCCATTCCTCGACACATGGGCGCCTCCCGGCGCCGGGAGGCGCCAGGAAAATTTAGCTACGTGGGCTGACTCTCACCCCCCCCCCTTTGCTATCCCCGCTCCGCTGGTTCTGGCCCACCACGCTTCGGCGCGACATGCTCCCCAGGTGCCGTCGTCTCGAGCCTTTCCTGGACCCCCGCCCCACGGAGCGGAGCGGCACGCTATCAGTTTGCACGGCAGAGGGTGTCGCAGGGGCCGCCGCCGCGATACACCAAACAACAACTTTGGACCAAGTGTTTGGGTTCTTTTGGCGTTTTTGAGAAACCACCGCTCGATACTCGCTAAAGCATAGCGTATCCGATACGACCACACCCGAAACGACCATACCTAGAACAACCATACCCAACGCGACCAGTCTAAATTCGTTGAGGCATGTTCAGAAGCAGTCGTGCGTAGGACGCGCCAACGTGCACTGGTTGCGCACGCCCAATGACCCCACACGCTCGCCTTACGCACGCAGGCGTGTTTTTTTCCTCCAAGAGTATTGGAAGACACAGAAAATGGGACACAAGGTGAGCCAGCCGTCTCGGGACCCAGAATGTGTTTTTCCTCTGGCGCGTAACAGTCGTTGCCCGGCCCCCTCCCTCCCCGCCTTGGGTAAAAGTAGCGATCGTGCGTCGGGGGGAGGGGGCCCACATGCTGTTGCTCGCGCGCAGATTTGGGCGATCGCAGCGCGGCCCCACCCCGACGTGCCGCACCCCACCCAAGCGTTATCGTTCCATGAGGTCCGACGTTGCAGAAAAGTTCAACGTCGCGGAAAATCCTGCCCAGAGCTCTCGCCCCCATCTTTCCACGTCATTTCTCGAGCCAGATCGAGCTGTGAGGGTCCCTGGGCCCGATACTGGGCGAATGCGCACGGTGTGAACAAAAAGATGATGCCCAGATCTCAGGGGTTACCCAATCCGTAGACGCACTAACGGCCATGTCGGCAACGGCGATGTAGGTTTCGGTATTGTGGGAACGCGTGGCTCGTGCTTTCCTGCAATTCGCTGTGTCGGTTTCGTTCGGTACACTCGCACATGGGCAATGTGGGAAGGTGTGGTTCGTAATTTTTCCGACAATTTGGTTCCTAACACCACCGTTAAGCAACGTCGCCGTTCGCGTGGCCTAGGCCAGTACCTTCCGGCGGGGGTAACAACCGTTGTTGGAAATCATACAAAGGATGCCTCGAGGGACACGCGGCTTCCGATGTCCCCCGTACCCCCTCGGGGCAGACCTCATTGCCTGGCTGGGCGCCGGCCCCAGGCCCTCGCCAGGCGTGCCTGCACTCTGCCGGGACGGTGGAGCTGGGTAGGGACCGACTGGGCACCGAGACCGACAGCCGTGCCTGCTCCTTTCGAGCAGGAGTCGCTGTTGGTGTCGCCGCGGACGTTGTCCATTCGCGACAGAAGGTCACCACCCACCAAACCACCCCAACCCAACCCGAAGGCCCCGATCTGCGGTCCATTTCCAGGTGTGGGTGGTCGGGGAATATAGAAAAAATATGTGTGAAGCCCGCCCCCCCCCCAGCCCGAAATTCGGTCGAAGTTTGGGTCTTCGGGTTGGGTTGGGGTGGTCTGGCAGGTAGTCAGAAGGCCGCCTGCCCAGCAGCGGCCGCCGTCGGTTTGGGACAGCATCTGCTGCTGGGCACCGTGCCCATTTTCTTCGTGGGCGTCCATGGCGGCAGACGTGTCGGCCCTCTGCTGCGATACGCGCGCTCCGGCCAGAGGCCGGGGAGCACTGCGGCACAAGGCTCAAGTCGGGCGTGTCTCTTTACAGGAGGAGTATTCAGAAGTAGTTCAAGAATAGTCATGGGACGTTTTTGTTGTTGTATGTTTGAGCATTTTTTGAACACGTATGTTTTTGTACTACTTTTCATGTTGTAGGGGGACACGCCCGACCTAACGCAAGGCCACGGAACCCCGAGATCCGTCGTAACGGAAAACGTTTCAGCGCCGCGCAAAATCACGCGCCCAGAGCCTTGGACCCCCATCTGGCACGTTTCGAGCGGGATCGATCTGTGGTGGGGGTCCCAGTGCCCGAAGTGCGGCGAAGTCGCCCGGATCTCAGGATGTGTGTTGCCGCAGAGGTTTCTGGGGTTTCGAGGTCATCGGGCCATCTGTCACCAGATGCTTTTCAGAGGGGCCCCTGAGAGAGGAGGAGATGGAGAGGAGGAAGCAGATGAGTAAAACAAGCAACAGCGTCGGCGTAGAGCCCCGCAGCAGCGGAGAGGAGGAGGAGGAGGAGCAGGAGGAGGAGCAGGAGGAGAAGAAGGAGGGTGAGGAGGAGGAGGAGGAGTGTGAGGATGAGGAGGAGGAGGAGGAGGAGGAGGAGGAGGAGGAGGAGGAGGAGGAGGAGGAGAGGAGGAGGAGGAGGAGGAGGAGGAGGAGGAGGAGAGAGGGAGGAAGAGGAGGAGGAGGAGGAGGAGGAGGAGGAGGGAGGAGGAGGAGGAGGAGGAGGAGGAGGAGGGCGAGGAGGAGGAAGGAGGAGGAGGAGGAGGAGGAAAACCAGTGTAAACCCAAGACTCATCAACGATGTTGGAACACACACTCCCTCCAATCTCCCTCTGTATAGGCCTCTACAAGGGTTCATTTCCACAGGGAGTTGCTCTGTTGGGGGCAACCGTGCAAAAATCCGCAAGCGTGCCAATTCATCATTCTCAGAACTTCAACGCTACGAGTTCACTTGAGTGTGAGGGCTTGGCGATCTTGAATTGCGCCAGTACGCCGTGTGTCAATGTAACTGTTGTGCCCTGACACTTATGAAGCGGTTCAAAACCCCGATTCTGGTACGGTGATCATGGGAGCCAGTGAAACTCTTGCAAACTTGTTGAACGAGTGTGAGGAGGAGGAGAAGGAGGAGGAGGAGGAGGAGGAGGAGGGGGGGGAGGAGGAGGAGGAGGAGAAGGAGGAGGAGGAGGAGGAGGAGGAGGAGGAGGAGAGGAGGAGGAGGAGGAGAGGAGGAGGAGGAGGAGGAGGGAGGAGGAGGAGGAGGGAGGAGGAGGAGGAGGAGGAGGAGGAGGAGGAGGAGAGGAGGAGGAGAGGAGGAGGAGGAGGAGGAGGAGGAGGAGGAGGAGGAGGAGGAGGAGGAGGAGGAGGGAGGAGGAGAGGAGGAGGAGGAGGAGGAGGAGGAGGAGGAGGACAAGGAGGAGGAGGAGGAGGAGGAGGAGGAGGAGGAGGAGGAGGAGGAGGAGGAGGGGGAGGGGAGGGGGAGGAGGAGGAGGAGGAGGAGGAGGAGGAGGAGGAGGAGGAGGAGGAGGAGGAGGAGGAGGAGGAGGAGGAGGAGGAGGAGGAGGAGGAGGAGGAGGAGGAGGGGGAGGGGGAGGGGGAGGAGGAGGAGGAGGAGGAGGAGGAGGAGGAGGAGGGGGATGAGGAGGAGGAGGACAAGCTAGGTGCGCTCGCGTCATACCTGACGTCTTACCTCTTGCCATGGCGTAGATCTCCTCTCCGCAATCGCATTACACGGCATAGCACGGAGTTGAGGATCAACGCGTAGCCTGACATACCATGGCGTGGCGACGCCCCAAAGGGGGAGGGCTTCTGCGGCCCCCAAACTCAACGAATCGACACCGAATGTGCAGTCATTTCCAGTGGTTGTTTCGGGGGGGCATGTTCTAGATTTTTGTGCCTTTTTGGAAGGACCGACAACCATGCCGTGGCATGGCGCTGGAAATGATGACACCAGCGCTGCAGCGGGAGCACGATTCGAAACGAGCGGAAGCGCGGAAATGAGGCCAGCGCTGCAGCGGGAGCACGATTCGGAACCAGCGGTAGCCCGAAAATGAAGCCAGCGCTTCAGCGAGAGCAGCATTTTGAGACAACAGCCCAAGCGAAAACCCGTTTCCCGGGAATCCTGTGTGTAAAAATCCAGTAAGCGGAGGGGGGGGGCGAATGTTTTCCGGACGTCGCCAGGGGAGAGAGGATTGTAGTCTTTCGTATTGTGAAATTGTGGAGGAGGAGGAGGAGGACGCGGACGGAGAGGGCAGGGGGCTTCTCGCCCGCGGCTTCTTCCCCTGCCGCGCCCGGGGCGCCCGCGAGGTTCTGGACGACCCCGCGTCGAGCAAGGTGGCCTGGTGGACCGCCAAGGCCCTCCAGGCGGTCGTGCTCCTGAGCGTGCTGGTGGGCGCCCAGCCCTTTTTTCTCTCTTTCCGTCCCTCTTGCCGCGCGTCATCGCCTCGAGGGGGCGGGCTCTTGGAGGAGAGAGAGAGAGAGAGAGAGAGAGAGCTGTTCCTCCTCCTCCTCCTCCTCCGCCTCCTCCTCCTCGCTCTCCTCCTTCATCCATCTGTGCTTGCCCCTCCTCCTTCCTCGTCCCTCTGTGCTTCCTCCTCCTCCTCCTCATTCTCCCCCTCCTCCTCCTCCTCCTCCACCTCCTCCTCCTCATTCTCCCCCTCCTCCTCCTCCTCCTCCTCGTCCTCCTCCTCCTCCTCCTCCTCCTCCTCCTCCTCCTCCCCCTCCTCCTTCTCCCTCCTCTGCCTCCTTCTCTTCCTCTTCCTCCTTCTCCTTCTCCTGCTCCTGCCCCTCTTCCGCCTCCAGGCCACGGTGCACTTGGCCCGACCGCCTCAACTATCGAGCCTGGGCTGCGACTCCGGGTGGGCTGGATGCTCTCGAGGAGCTGGCGTTCAGTCGGGCGTACCCCTCTACAGTGGGAGTATTCAAACATAGTACAAGAATAGCCGGGGGACGATGTGCTGATTATTTTGTTTGGTAAGGTTTGATCATGTTTGGGGTATTCTTTGTTCTTCGTCCAAAATCCGCCTGTAGGGGGACATGCCCGACCTAAAGCTGGCGTGGTCTTTTTTTTCACGGGCGTCGTGCCACCCAGCTTCAACCCCTCGATCTTCTCCGTCATCCCGAAGGGCACGGAGACGTCCCACACGCAGACCTTCACCACGGAGGTGAGCAACCTCCGCCCGATCTCGCGCAAGAGCTCCAGCACGAAGACATTCGCTGGCGTCCTCAGCCAGCAGCGCAAGACCCAGGTTGAGCTCCGCGCTCGCCCGATCCAGCAGGGCTTAACCAGAGGCAGCAAGTTCTGCAACAGCATCGTGCTCATGGAAGGGCTGGGGCGACTGATGGGCTGGCGCCCGTCTGCGAACGTCGAGAAGCCGACTCTGGTCCTCTTCGACATCGCAGCCCCACCTTCCCCTCGCTTGGGAGGCAGTGGCCTTTCGCGGCCCTCGAGCAGCTCAAGTCCGAGCTCAGCTTCCTCAACGCCGCCGCCGCGCTGTATGACCAGGCCGCGGCAACAGCACATTGCACAACGAGCACTTCTTTGTGCGTGGCTTTGACTCGGGCGTCGCCCAGGGTTGTCCGCTGTCGGGCACGGTCTGAGCCACTGCGAAGTACAGCATGATTCGTGCCATTGCTCGGATCCTACCCGCGGGCGAGGAAGGTCCTGCTGGGGCTTGTGCCGACGACCTGGGCATTCGCCTGCAGAAGCTGTCCATCCTCGCCCCACTCGCCAGAGCATCTCGTCAAGCCGAGCTCTTTGGCGAAATTCGTTTCAACGTCTGGGTCGACGGGCGAGCAGGAGGAGGAGGAGGAGGAGGAGGAGGAGGAGGAGGAGGCCGAGCACGCCGATTTTGTCAGGGCCGAGGTCCTGCCCGACGGGGTCGCCTTCAGGGCCGCGGACGAGGGCCTCCACCTCGGCGTGCACGTGGGCCCTGGCGCCGGCAGCCTGATGCAGTGGGCGGCCGCGGGGTCGAAGTGGTGGCAGCGTGTCGTGGCAGTCGGCTCGTCGTCTGCCTCGGTCGACGCCCATGTTCGCTTGTGCCAGACGTCGGCGATCAGGGTCCCCGGCTACTCCGCGCAGTTCCTCGACCTACCCTCTCAGTAACGTTAACCGATTCCCATCCCCATCTCCATCCCCATCCCCATCATCCCACCACCCCAGCTGGGGATATGCGCCTCGAAGCTCGAAGGGAACAGCCCATATCCCCATCAAGGGAGGTGAATCGGCCAGTGGTGCCCAGGCCGTGCCCGTCGGGATAGGGATCGGTTAAACGATGCTTACCTTCTCGAATTCGCCGCAACGAGATCCACTCCGTTTAAGATGTGCTGCGGATCCCGTCCAGTACCTTCCGTCAGGTGGACGTTCACGCGCTGGCCAATTGGATCCCTGGGCCCCTTGCCGCGATCCTTGCGTACTTACTCGTTGGGAATGTTGTGGCGCGCGGCCTCTAACACCATGACGCAGAGGCACGAGCTCTACAACCAGCTCCACACAGCCGCTGGCCGTGCCTGCAGTCTACCCGCACTTGCTAAGCACCGCTGGTCGCCTACCTTCTGGAAGGAGCCGTTCGCCATCGCCCAGCGCTTCGAGGCCATTGTCCGAGGCGAGTCGCTGGTCGTCCCTCCTCGCCGCCGCCGCGACCTGGTCAGTGCCTCGATGATTGCGATGCCAGGCGGCACGGGATCAAGCCGAAGCCCCAGCGCCAGTTCTTCAACGCGCCGGAAGCCCGTTGGATGCCAGACAGCCACGAGGTCACGCTGGAGAAGAGCTTGCAGGCGTGGTTTGGCCCTGGTAGCGCTCCTCACGACCTCCGCGCTCACTGGCGAGTACTGACGACGCAGACTGCAATTCTTCCACCGCCACCGCGCTGAGTTATGATGCGGACGCTGGCTGGCGGGTGGCACACCAGCCCGAGGATGCACGCCACGCCCGAGGTCGACCCGTGCAAGTTCATCTGCGTCGGCGGCGCATGGGATTCCACTTCGTACTACCTGAAGTGCGATCGGCTGTGCCATCTCACGTGTCTGCCGCCCACCTTCGCCCAGAAAGGCGTGCTTAACCGTATCGGCTTGGGCCCGTTCTATCCACAAAGTGGGGAGCACTCGCTGTCGAGCTCTCTCCAGCGCCTCGTCCTGCCGTACTTCGCCTACCTGGAGATCAAAGCCAATAGGACCGGCTACACCTACGGGGGCCACCTCATCGCGTTGACCGCCGCGAAGGATCGTCTTCAACTCGTAAAATGAAGCTGGGCTGGTCCCCGCGGCCTGCGCTCCGAGGCTGGCTCCCACCTCGGTCGGAGTGGACGTCCGCTCCCCTAGCTCTACGCATCCTCCTCCTCCTCCTCCTCCTCCTCCTCCTCCTCCTCCTCCTCCTCCTCCTCCTCCTCCTCCTCCTCCTCCCCCTCCCCCTCCCCCTCCCCCTCCCTCCTCAGCGTCATCATCACTTTCCTCGTCGTCCCTCCCTCCTCCACCTCCTCCTTCGGAGAGGGCGAACCGTGCGCGTCCAGGGTGCATTAGCGCTGCCAGGGAAAAAGCCCGCGGCACGCGGGCCCACGCCTTGTGTCAAGAGAGGCAAGACCACCCGGACCGGACAATTGGCGTTTGCTAAACGGCCCTGGGCGTTTATTAAACAGGCCTGCCCTGTTTGATTCCTTCTTTGGGTGCGTGTGCTAAGCGGCTTCGCGCGTCGGGGTTGTTATTGCCGGGGTGGATCTTCTGCCCCCTGTTGTGTTCCGAAACAGGGGCGTCCAGTTGCGGGGCGCCGTGCGCGCGCGGCTCCTGGAGGAAGCGGGGGCCGTGGAGTTGTGCTGCAGGCCTCGGGCTCCGGGGGCCCCCTCTCCCCGGGCCCCGGGGTTTGTCAGGAAGCGGGTCGGGACACGGGCAGCTGGTCCCCGGGGGAGGTCCAGGACCCGCTTCCATCGGGGGCCCCAGAGCGCGCGGTGACCATACCGCGTGGTGAGTCGGTGGGGATTCGGGGCCACCGCGCGGCTTCGAGACTTGGGTCGTTCTCAGGGGACGTCTCGGGCGATTGGGGGCCTCCAGAGTCCCAGAACAGAGAAGTGATGGACCGGTGAGGTCTTGCGGGATTTTGAGGTCACCGCGCGGTCTGTCACCGCGCCGTTTTGAACCCCAAATGGCCGCAAGACGCGCCGAGACGGCCCAAGACGGTCCCAGGAACCCGCTCGAAGGTCACAACTTCCAGGACTCCCCCCAGGAGCCCCCCCACAGTTTTGACGTCGAGATGCCCCTTGGCGAGCCCCAAGACAGCCTTCAGACACTGCAGGAAGAGTCCGAAGGGATCCTAAGTTCCAAGCCCGCCGACTTCAGATTCAGTGTCCGCCGACGCTGGCCCTGGACAGCTCGAAGGACGCCAGTGGCTGCCACCTGCAGCCGAGGGCTGCAGCCGAGGGTCGCCCCCAAGGGGGATCCGCGGGGCTCTGTGGGGTTTCAGGGCAGCTCTGGGGCTCCTCGTTGGTTCGCTCCAGATGGCGTCGAGAACGTCTCGGAGGAGTCTCAGCCGCTCTAAGAGGCCAGGGTCCCCGTGCGGTTGGTTGGGAGGCTGCTCGGAAGAAGGTGAGGTCTCAGCGCGCGCGAAACGCGCGCCGGGGTCACATAAGACACTATGCAGGGACAGTCATCCGTCAGCGCCTGCATGGACGATGGGTGTACTTGGTGGCCATGACCAGGGACCCGCACACACAGTGCGATGGGCGTCACGCTTTCATGCAGCAGGGTTGTCAGTGTGCATCCAGTGGTGCAGCTTCTGGGTGTGTCAGAGGCTGCCACTATTTCACCTCAAGTTCAGCGCCCAGAGCGCAGCACCTTCGCAGTCCATTGGCATTGCCACCGGGCCTACTCTGCGACTTCATGGATACAGCAACGAATCGCCCACTTCTGTCAGGATGCAGCCTTGCGTTTAGGGCATCATATTATTCAGTTTTATACAGTTTATTACGCAGATGTTTCCTTGAGGCACCGCCTCGGAGGGAGTGTGGAAGGACCATGTTTGTACAGTCGGCGCTTCTGTATGCTTGTTGCCATCGGCATCAGGGTCAAGAAAGCCATGTTTCATCACCGCCCCTGGAGCAATTCAGTAGCACGAGCGTCACCACTCACACAATCCAAGTGCTGAGTATCAATCGCGTGATCATGTCTCAATATATATATATATGTGTTTTGATGGTCATCTTTCACCGTCCTTGTCCGTCCTTTGGCCCTTCCTCTCAACATCTCTCAACATCTGTCTCTCTATGCTTGTCTGTGGGTCCGGCCTCTCCTGTCCTCTCTTCCCCTGCTCTGTCTCGTGCCTCGCCCTGTCCCGCCTCGCTCTCACCTGACTCCGTCCGCCCGTCTGCTTGCCTGTCTGTCTCCATGCCTGTCTTTCTAGGTTACCTACCTGCAGATCGTGGAGGACCCGGTGCTACACGGGTGGTCGGCTGCCGTCATCGAATCGGTGTTCGACTTCGTGTTCCTGGCGGAGGCTGGCCGTCCTTCTGCCGCTCCCTCTCTGCCCTCTTTGCTCGGAGCTGGCCAGCCGCTCGTGCTCCCATGGGCCTCTGGCGTCGTGAGGAGGCCCAGCTCGGCTGCGATTTCCGAGTCCCACCCTCGCCGATCAACGATTCGGGCAACTCGATTGGTGGCGGGGACAGGGTTCGGAATTGGTCGACCATGTGGCAAGATCCTAATCCAGCCCCCTGTCTCCCATCGATTCGGTAGAGTCGCTGGCTGGTGGAGGTGGGGGCTCGGATGGTCGCCACCTGCCGGCGCCGCGATCGGGTGACGGCCGCAGTTGCCAAGCCCAAGCGTTGCGCGTAATCTCTCGAGCCGCATCGTTCGGTGAGTGCCCCTCCGGCCCGAGGCAGGGAGAACATGCCACACGTCAGGGTTTGCCTCTCGACGGTCGTATGTGCGGGTGTTTCTGATGTTGGCCGTCGTGCTGTTGCCTATTGTATGGTCGAGCATCTGATAAAGAAACCTACTGGGAAGCTGGGCCAGAGTTTCTTGACCAGCTTGTTGGAAAGCTGGCCCAGTTTCTTAGCACGACCGCCCCTCCAGCATTCGCCGAAAAAGCTGGCCCAGCTTTGTTTAAATACCCTTTCGCATAGTTTGTCCAGGGTTTTTTAATACTGATATTTTTGATCGCAGTTTTCGGCTGTAGGACGCAGCTCCTGGGAGGTGAAATTCAGCATCGGCGCTGGTATATCCGTGGTCTGAAGCCTGCATGATCCAGCGCGCGGACTTCCCCTTCCCTTCCCTTCCCTTCTCCATTCGGGGGTTGCTCAAAGTGCCCCTGGCCCCAGGTACCCCGATCTTTTCGCTTAAGTTTGTAGCTCCTGAGGTCCCCTGGGCCTCGTGAGGAGTGCTCTGGAGACAGTGGGGGCCTCCTTGGAAATTCTGAGGGCACCTTGGGCCAGACTTCTAGCAACACCCGATCCATGCTCCTCGTCCCTTCCTCTCCTGTCCCTCTTCCGCTCACCTCAGTCCGTGAGGCTTCCAAGCGGAGCTGCCTTTTCGAACCTCTGTCGACTGCACGTAGGAGTGACCCTTCGCCTGAGTGACCTTGGGTGCGGGCTCACTGGGGTCCCCCGATCGCCGAACGCGATGCAATAGTAGCGTCTTGCGCGTTTGTGTCTGGTCCCCCTGCGGCCCCCCAAAAGCTGCGTACCAAAGGTCACTCTTACCCAGGGTCACCCCTGCGTGTAGCCGACTCTGGCCGAGGCACCACCAGTGCTGAAATATGGACTCCCTCCAGAGCAGATGCCACAGCATCTGGCAGCAAAGCGGTATCGAGGTCGCCTTCGGCGAGTCACCCCCGCCGCTTGCCTTTTGGACGCGCTTGCATCGTGGAATGTCGAGCGGAAGTGCGGCCACCACAATTAGTGAATTTCGTTGTCCCCGAGGTTTGGGGCAAGCAGCTGGGGAAACGCCGGGGAGGGGCCCTCTGAGGCTGTCTTGGGGCCGTTTTGGCGCTCGTGCCTCCCGGGCTCTCTTGGAGGCCTCCTGAGGCCTCTTGGGCCATCTTGAGGCTCTCTTGGGCCGTCTGGAGCCTTCGGAGACCATCTTGGGGGGCATCTCTGGGCCGTTTTGGAACACTCTGAGGGTCATTCAGCGCCGTCTTTCTGCTCTGTTGGGCACTCTTTTGGCCCTCGTGGGCCGTCTGGGGGTCCTCTCGGGGCCTACTTGGTCCGTCTTGGATTGGTCTTGTAGCTCTTGGACCGTCTTGGACGCTCTTAAGACCGAATGGTTGGACATTTGAAACCCATTGAAAAATCAAAGACACTTCAATGAGCTTGGCATCTTGGACAGACACCGAGGGGCCCGAATACGTCCCAAAAGAGCCCACAGGGGAACCTCTTGGACCCTCCTGGTGTCATCTTGGGGCCAGTTCTTTTGTCTGGAAAGCGTCTTGGAGGCTTTGCCAGCGTGATCCAGGTCTGGGCGTTGGGTAATGAGGGGCGATCCATGAGGGGGTGACGAAAGGAGCACTTCGCGTGCCCTCAAGGGGCCTCTCGCGGCCTTGCACAGGGCACGAAAGGTTCGCGTTTCTCCGTTTATCGACCCCCCCCCAGTCAGGAGCGCCCAACAGGTGGCCAGCGAATCGGTGGAAACTTTTTGGAAGGGCCAGAAAGAATTTTCGAATTTGGAGTCAGGCGCCCATGCGCCGAGCACGGGGGGCGGTGGATCGAAGACGCCTACGGCGAATCACCGCCGCCCCCTGCCTTTTTGGAAACGCCGATGTGGCCGAAAGTTGGACTAGAGCTTGGCCAAGCTATCGGACCATGAGTTCCCCGAGTCGGTTTGGAAAGCTTTCGGGGAACACATGGGAGAGAATGATTATGAACAGGAAGAGGAAGAGGAAGAAATAGAGTAGGAGGATGAGGGTTGTTAGGAGTCTCTTGGGGCACCCTTGGGGTCTGTTGGGGGCTTCTTGGGGGCCTCTTCGAGGCCTCTTGGAGGCATCTTGGGGGCCTCCTTGGGCCTCTTGGGGGCCTTTGGGGGCTTCCTGGGGGTCTCTTTGGCCGTCTTAGGGCGTTCCTGGTCCGTCTGACGCCGTCTGGAGCCGTCTTGGGGGCCTCTCTGGGCCGTCTTGGGGCCCTCTTGGGGCGCTTCAGGGCCGTCTTGGAGGCCATGTTGGGCGTCTTGGAGGCCTCTTGGGCCGTCTTGGGGCGCTCTTGGGGCCGTCTTGGGGGGCCCTTGGGCCGTCATAGGGCCTTCTTGGAGGCCTCTTGGGCGATCTTGGGGGCCTCTTGGGCCGTCGGAAGGCCGAAAAGAAGAAAACGCAACAAACCTTCAAAAACCTAAGGAAAACCAATGATTTTGGCCTCTTCGGGCTCTCCTGGAGAACGTCTTGGAGGCCTCTTGGGCCATCTTGGAGGCATCTTGGGGCCATCTTGGCCGTCTTGGAGGGCATCTTGGGCCGTCTTGGAGGCATCTTGGAGCCATCTTACCCGTCTTGGAGGCCATCTTGGCCGTCTTGGAGGCATCTTGGAGGCCATCTTGGGCCATCTTGGCCGTCTTGGAGGCCATCTTGGGCCAAGTTGGGGCAACAAAGGCATTGACAGACGGATTTTCGGAAACTTGCGGGTGGCCGGCGGGACGGGCCGAAGCCCACTGGGGAGTTCTTTTAGAAAAAGAACCAAAACCAAAACCTGAAACGTCCAGCACGCCGTGCACCCCTGCAAGCAGGGGGCGGCGGATCTAGTGTGCTTCGGCCCGTTTCGCCGCCGTGCCCCTTGATCGTGGACACGAAGCCCCTTAGAGGCCCCTTGTCTTTTTCTGGGCAGGCCTCCCGTGGGCCTCTCGGGGGTCTCTGGCGGGCCTCCAGGGCGCTTCTCGTGGGCCTCTGGGCGCCTCTTCGATACCTCCGTGGGGGGCTGCCGGCGGCCTCGGGAGTGCGCTCCAGGAGCGGCCCTCGGACGGGGCCAGGACGAGGATGAACATCCGCTCCAGGGCGTTCCAGATCTCTCTCGCAGAGCGTGCCGGGATGCTCTGAGAAGGCGGCGGCGCCCGAGTCGGCCTCCAGAGCCGCCAGGTCTCAGAGGTTCTCGATTTAGCCCCACCCGATCTTGTCCTCGTCCAGACTTCGTCTCGGGAGTGCGCTCCAGGAGTGCCCCCCCGGGGCGGAGGTGCCCCTCGCACACTCTGCCTGGCGCGGCTCTAGCCCGCG